CGCACGCACGCACGCACGCACGCACGCACGCACACACACACACACACACACACACACACGCACGCGCTCACAACCTCGTATTAACCGAAAACGACTGAGACTTCTTGCACGTTATTTTTGTCGCACTCACGACTAACCAGATGATGTATAGGTGTGTAGAAGTCAAAATTCTACGCACGCCGGCACTTAAGTCCGAGCCTTAATCGTCGCTGACACGACTGAACGCGATGTAACACGGCACGGCACGAGACGACACGACGTGGTACGACGTGAGACAGCACAACACGACGCGTGACACGACACGGTACGACACCACGTAACATGATATGGAACGACACGGTACGACACAATGTGACTCGACACGACACGACACGCTACGACACGGCACGACACGATGTGACACACCACGGTACGGCAGCGCACACCGCAAGACGATAAACGTTAGATTGCACTTCATGAGCCAACGTGACGATGGCACAGCCTGACACTGTCACGGCACGACGTTGCATGCCCGGCAATGACACGATACGACGTCGCATATAGGACGTTGACACGACATGACGTTAGTGGCACCGCACTGAAACAACACGACGTTGCAACCACGACACGTGGCGACGTGACACGACACGTGGCGACGTGACACGACACGTGGCGACGCGACACGACACGTAACACGACACGTAACACGACACGTGGCAACGTGACACGACACGTAACACGACACGTGGCGACGTGACACGACCCGTAACACGACACGTGGCGATATGACATGACATGACACGCGCGACTTACACGTGTGGGCCGTGGCACCGCAGCCGCAGCCGCCGCTGCCTCCGCCGCTGCCTCCGCCGCTAATTAACAGTCGCAAGTCGAAGCGAGCAGCTAGCTATAACGTACGGAGCACGAGCACGAGCAGTCTTCCCTCCCGTCGCGGTGCCGCCGCTCTGCGCCGCATTACGGAGAGCCCACCCACCAGCGCTCGCCATCCATCTCCCTGCCACGTCGCTGCTGCTGCTGCTGCTGCTGCTGCTGCTGCTGCCGTCCTCGCCCATGCCGCCAGCATGCGCGTGCCGCGAGAGCGCGCCCGCCCGTCCGGCCTCCACTCGCGCGTATAAACATCGGGAGAAACAGTGAGATTTTATTTGCGGAAGCCCGCCGTAGCCGACATGTAAACAGGATGTGCGCCGTGTGGCGGCGTCTGCCCATCACGGCGACGTCTGCACGCACACGCACGCACGCTGGCGCTGTTGCTGGTATTACGCACGGGTATTAACAGTATTGCTACTGCCTATACCGCCGCGGGTAAGCAGTAAAGTCACCGAGACTATATATATATCGAGCGTAGAGCTAAAACAGGAACGACGGAATGCTGAAATACATTTGATGCTTTTTACACGCTGATAACATGTTTTGTGATCATTTTCTCGTCTTTTTCGAGAAAAACGCCGGTACACACACAACTACGCACATACGCTCGCTCGTCTGCACATACGCATGCACGCACGCACGCACGCACATAATATACGTATAAGTAAAAGCGCATTTGATCCCCGACTCTTTTACTGGATGATGCTATATTATCATTTTCGCGTCGTTTTCGAGAAAAACACCGGTGACGAACGCACAGACGTACACACGCTCGCACACACACACGCGCACACTTGCATACACATCAGAAGTAGATAATAGGGAATAGGGGATAGGGGGGGGGGGCTATTATCTACTTCTGATACACATCATACATATAAATTGCATCTCTTTTGATCGCGGGCTCTTGTGCTAGGTGCTATATATATATATATATACTACAGCTCACGTTGTTAGAAATCTCGCCCGTCTTTCCCTCGATAATGATGAGTAGGAAGCGCGGCAGCAGCAGCAGCAGCAGCAGCGCGCGAGAACTGAGTGAGAATTGAAATAGAATCAAACAAAGGCAATCATTTTCCGTTAACGCGACGCGCGAGGGATGCTGACGAGATTGCTTTGTGTACGACCGTCGTCACACAATTGCTTCATTGAAAACGAACGCGGGGCACATTATACTTGTGGCGTGATGCTTTAAGCGTGGTTCAATGACCAGCCGCCGTCTATACACGCAGAAGCCATTGCACATATATTGATATAGATAGATAGCTCTATGCGCTATCTAAGCTTTTTACCGCGGGCAGCATTGATCTATTTGTAAACAGCTTCTAGAGCGTCCGCTGGAAGCTGTGTAGCTGTACGAGTAGCGTGGATACGTATGGAGTATACTCCATACGGATAGTATGGAGTATGGAATACGTGCGGAGTATGTAATGTCCCGCATACCTGTCTGAGATCATGTCTATCACTACACCCTCCCCCTCCTCCACACGTAGGCTACATGTATATATCCCCCACCTCCCCCACATGTACACGTATATGTCCCCACCTCCTCCACATGTACATGTCTATTTCCATCCACCTCCCCCACATGTACATGTCTACAAATAAATAAATAAATAAATAAATAAATATATATATATATATATATATATATATATATAACCACCCCCTCCCCTATACGTACATGTTTAAATCTACTCACCTCCCCCGCACGCTGATGCCTATATCGACCCATTACCATCGCATGGACACATCAAAGGCTGAGAAACCACCCACGTACTTCACCCATGAAATTTCTCCGCTCTCAAAGTAAACACATATCTACACATTCACCGCTACATGTAGGTCTATAATAAATTGCTGGTTATTGCCACATCGACCTATAAACCCCTCATACACACGCCATAACAGCACACAAACGCGGTATCTATAATACATATACGACTCGAATTCCCAACTGGACATTTCGCAAGCAACACCATGCCCACGCTGAACATCCGCACGTTCAAATGCCACGGCATATTCACCGTAATCAATACACTGTACGAATCATGAACGAACGAACAATTTCATTAGGTATACATGGGTATTTCATTAGCCTTTGTTACTGTGACAGATTCTGGCTATGAATAGGGGAGCAAAACACCACTCCCGTGAACGGTGACAGTGACAGGGTCACCGCGCTGTCACCGGGCCGGATACGAGTTAAAAGCGCTAGAACTACGCGCTCATTTACATAAAAGCACACACGCACGCCCCCATGTACTCACGCACGCACGCACGTACTCACACACGCACGCACACCCGCCCGCACGCTCGCACGCACGCACGCCCGCACGCACGCACAAAGTTCTGCGTCG